AATTTCAGAAAAAATGGGCAACTAAAAAAAATTAAATTCGTATCAATTATTATTCGTATTAATTCTTTACCCATGTAAAATATGTTTACTAAAGCTGATTGAACAATATTTGAGAAGAGTGGTCCCTAGAGGCTTCCTTAGAAATATTAGGGATCGAATAATGTCCAGTCATTTCTAAAAATTCGAACCTGTTTCATAATTTTTTATTTTTTTATTTTTTTGATAAATGAAATCGAATTTATTTTATTTTTTGAATTTGTTATTATTTTCACATTATTGTTCGCAACTTAAAAACATAATTCTGTTAACTGCTGTACATTATTTACAATGTGTGGTGATTAGTGACCGTTAGTCGATGATTATTCGGAAATCGTGACATGCGGTTTGGTGTGATGTAGGTTTCAGGAAAAAAATACGTTTCGATCTTCATTGAGATCATCTTCAGGGCTCAAAGTGTCACTTTTGTCATTATTTACAATATACCTGTACGGATATTGCGGATATTTAAAATCATACAAACAAGTGTCTTAATGATTTCAAAACAAGTAAATAAAAATATGAAATAAGAAAAATAAAGTACTTGGAATAGGAACAGTGAGAAACCAAACAATGCCGAAACTATATGGATCGTTCTGAATTGTCGTCATATATTATTAGGTTTTTTCTCATCTTTCCTTCCCTCTAGCACACTTTCTACCTCTGTCTACAGCAAACACGGAACAAAATCTACATTAAACATCTCGCGGCAATAAAAATTTCTGGTTGCGATCCAAAATTTTTCCTATTGATTTATTATTGTTTGTCCAACTTTTTTACCTATAGGATTGTTTATAAAAATGACGTACATATTTAATGCACTTAGGTAAACTTGCGTCAGAGGGAAAGCTTTAATATATTGCGAGCGAGTCGACAAAGTCCCGTCTGCAGCAAAGTAAAGAAAATCTAAAACTTATTAATTTTTAATTACCGTTGCCCACTTTCCGCCAGGTTTTCCATTTTAATTTTTCTCCAACTTTTTCAAAAGACAGGATAGACCCTAGCCGAGAATTTTTTTTAAACGAATAAATATGTAAGAGGTGTATAATAATAAGAGGAATGGCTTTTTTTATATTAACCTTGCCAAACGAGAAATATAATTTCAAGGATAAGTATGCTGGAAAATATAAAAAAATTATTCTGTTTTCTAAGGTTGGAAGATGTATTTTATTTTACAACATTCTTTCGTAATATAAATAAAGAGAACACTTATGTTTACTGCAGCAACAAATATTGTAAGAAAATTTATATATAATTCTAATTATTTTCCTGTATTATTAGTTTGGTGGTAATTTATTTTTAAGGCTAGATTGTAGGTTTCTGTTTAACTGAAACATAAATGATTTTTTATGCTTTAAAATAGTTCATTCGATTCGCTTATACATTTCGGGCCATGTCTCTGGCCCCTCTTCAAAGTCACATTTTTTTTAATCCATAGATGGTTACATAAACTATTATGTTAAAAATCAGAATTTACGTATTTGAAAGTTACAAAAAACGGGAAGGCTCCATACTATCATTTACATCGATATGATGTGAACAATTCAAATGCTTGATGAATATAACTGAAAGATTTACAATCAAGATTAAATTTTAAACTGTTAGACATATAAAATAAAACCATAAATATATGTACAAAAATAGTATAAATTAAAACAGTAAATCCTAAACAATTGTATAAAATAGAAAAACAATTAACAAACAACAATATACAATCAATCAATTGTAAAATTACAGTATAAAGTCTTCGGTATAGAAAATATAAATGTAATAATTATTATGTATGCACATCATAAATCACATTTGTTCGCTATGTAGGTTTTTAATAAATATTCAAAATAATTTTTATTGACGTTGTTTTCTGTTAAGTTTATGTGTATAGTTTCTAAGAAATTTAACTTTAGTTCATGTTTTGTTTTTGTGAGAGTAATTTGAATAGTAAATTTGTGTTTTGTCTCGAAAACATACTAACCATATTGAGCCTCTCTCGTAATTCTGTTGTCATGCAGTTTAATTCTGTTTTTCACAAATTGTATTGTTTTTCCAACGTAAATTTTATTACATGTACAATTTAATGAACTTCAATTTTTACTGTATTCCGTTTTGCATATTTTATCCTTTATTGTAGGAATAATTGCACTTATTTCATTATTTCACTAGTTATAAAAACATAAATCTTTACAAATATTTCTTTTTTTTTACTTTTAGTATTTCGTCTGTTAAACTAGTAATAAATATAAAGCCAATTTAATTTTTTTATACATTACTGAATTTTATACATGTCTGAATTGATGTTATAGATTTTCTAAGCCAGATTTATGAGTTTTTGAGTAATCATTTTTATAAATCACTTATATTTAATTTTTTTGTATGATAACAAAAGTCACTTAACACTGACGTGCATCAAATATTTGTTTATAGTTCTTTATCACTATTTAATGTATGGGATAATCAGTGCAGGATAATCTCCCTGGGAAATGACAAGTGTTTTACAGATTTTAGAGAACATGTTAATAATTATATAATAGATGTTGAATTAAGTTGTGAGAATTGTTTTTCTTTTCTACCTATGAAATTTATCCATCGGGGGACGCACCGGTACACGTACGGTTTAGGCCTTTGCTCAGAAAATTTCTGTAGGCAAAGCAAAGGATCGAACCCTGACCAGCGTACGTGACCAAACACACAATGACGCCCTAACGATACCTACTACCACTGACGTAAAAAAAATATTCAAAAGGGGAAAAATATATCTTTCTAAAGTTCTAAAGTCGTTTTATCGTCACGCGAGCAAACACACGATTGGTTTGTTTTTTGTTCTTTTTTCCCATATCGTCATTTGGATAGAATCAATTGCCAGCAAATTTATTGCATGACTGTATTGCGTGCGACGGTGTTGCAGAATAAACAAAATCGACAAAAATGATAACGCATACCGAAGGTAAATTTCATCGCGTTCTTCATAACTAGGCTTTTTACGGATATTATGGCCCATTATGAGTTGTACTTATGTTCTAAATTTTTCAGTGGGTAGATTTGTACGTTTATTCAGGATTTTGTTGTAATACTAGAACAATAAATTTAAAACGGCTATTTTCCCCCAAAGGCCTTTTTCATTTTCTTACTCTTCGTTTATCTTTATTATTGCATATTGACTTAACATGTGCTAAAAATTAATGAGAACCTGTTATATCATTGATTAATTACAATAATGTTAATTGGATAGTTTGTATTAACTGCACAATTACAATTATAGGGAGAGAGAAAAAAGGGAGAGAGAGAGAAAGAGAGAGAGAGAGAGAGAGAGAGAGAAAGAGAGAGAGAGAGAGAGAGAGAGAGTAAGGAAAAGAAAGGGAGAAAGTATGTGTTTGAAAATAAGAGATGAGAAAAAAAAATGATCATGGGTTGATGTTAATTAGCCGGTAAATTCGCTCTGTCATTCAATGTATTTTCTACCATAAAATTATACCAAATACAAAACAACGTAAAGGAACATGGGGAAAGTTTATTTTATGAAACAGCAAAAATGCTGAGTGTAAGTACGCTTACTACTTTTTTTTTTCTTCTCCATGTCAACCAATACACAGACAGATATAGAAACGTAATACAGCATGAAAAATAATAGAGAAAGAGAAAACAAGTCAGGCGGATAAATAGAGAGGGAGATAGATAGATGGAAAGAGAAAGAGAAAAACAGTTAAATAGATAGATATATAGGGGGGTAGATAGATAGAGAGAAAGAGAAAGAGAAACAGAGAGAGAGAGAGAGAGAGAGAGAAAGAGAGAGAGAGAGAGTGAAAAAGTGGGAGGGAGGGAGACAGAGTGAAAAATCCGCTACCAAATATCTAAATACACCAACTAGAAAACGAAGTATAGGAACATGTCAATATATAAAATCTGCCTTTTGTATACAGAGATAGATAGAAAGAAAAGGAATGAGAAATAGATGGACAGATAAATAGCCAAAAAATAGATATATAGATATAGAGAGAGAAAGAAAGAGAGGGTGAGTGAGAGCGAGAGAGACAGAGCAAACGACAGAGCATAGAGGGTTGATGTCAAATAACAAAATCTGATGTTATTCTTCGTTCTAAATCCATTTACTCGATTAAGTACAAACGTACATGAAAGAACATGGTTAAACAATTTTTTGTACATTTATAAAATTTTTGAAATAGTGAGATGCGGGTGAGAAAATGAGTGAAAGGAAATATGAATAATTAGTAATAAAATATGAAAAAGGTAAATGGGTGAAATCAAGATATTTCTAGTCAATGCAAGGCACTTTTAACTAAAACCCCTCCGCCAAAATATATAAATAAATGAAATTTAAAGAAATGTAATAAAAATAAACTCAAAAGATGTACTTACGGAGTGGATTGGGCTTCCGTCTATCCCACGCTAGCGATTCTCGGTTCGAATCCTGTAACAATCCATGGAGTTTTTATTGATAATTTATTGTTTTTAATTGTACGGTAGTTACATCATCAGCGGCATCCAATGGGTAGCTGAGCGTTAAGCCCTCCTTTTTCTCAAGAGTTACATTACTGTATTGTTATTAATACATTCATCTGATATTATTTATAATTTTTATATGTTTTACTTGAATTAGACTGTAAATGTGTGTTGCAGCGATCCTTTCTTATAATAAAAGCAAATAAATTAATATGAGGAAGGGTCGTTCATTTTTCAGTAAACGTTTTTTCTTTCAGTTCAAAATATGCAAACAATCTTATCGTGCTTCCATTTAATTTTATTAAAACATTGATTAGGAAATTACGTGAGCAACGTGTTTAAATTGGCTTTGTAAACGTAATTATTCTGAAAAGGAAATTAAACTTGCTCGAGAAAGAGAAACCGGAAGGATTTTATTTTAATATCATAAATTATGAATTAATTAATAACTCAATTCTTTTAAATGTTTAGTTGGTTAATGCAAATTTATTTTTGTCATTGTTTTACAGATGGAGACAACATTGCAGCCATCCAGCGGCAAGACGCTTCTGGTAGCAAGAGGCCGTGCGTGGCCCTGCTCGTCGCGCTTATTTCCACGTCGTCAATTTTTCACTGGTAAGCCCAATTAATTTTTTCCAGCCATCTCCACGGCAGTAATTTTCTCACATCCGTAAAAGTCGAAAATAAGACGGAAATAACTCGGCCGATGGCCCCATAGTCCATTAAAGAGATTTGTGAGCAATGTAAGGCGATAAATAAAACAGAGGAGGATGAAGTGGGCAAGCCTCCGAATCAACTGGAAACTTAGGCAATTATCAAGAACCAAATTATATTGCCGGGAAAGTTGGTGTGATTATTTTCAAACTCCTTATAACCAAATATAACTTGTACTTCTCAAGATAAATTTGCATAACGCTTCAGTAAGATTACCTTTCAAATATCGATTACATCATTATGATGTTTGTTCTTCCAAAGCTTGTAGCTTAATTTTGAAAAGGGTTGATGAAGAACTTATGACTATATTGTTGTTACACAATCTACTCCTGAAGTTTGATTTTGTATTAGGTTGAAACGTAAACTTTTCCTTAAACAAGATCAGATTTTGCTTTCTTATTAGACAACTATCATCTAAAAGAAAATTCCTTTTTGTTTATAAATTGATTACTCTCTTATCATTGAAATATAGTTCCAGCCTTCTCTAAAAGAGCTTTAATCTAGCCAAACGAAAAATTTATCATAGAACATTTTCCTTCATCAAGAACGTACACTTGTTAAGACCTGATTCCATTCAAAGATAATGAAAAAAATTCTAATTAAACTTAGCAAACAAATGTTTGTATAAATTTTACGAATAACAACACAGGTGAAACTATAAATTGTATAAATGGTAGTAGGATAACGGCAAGTAAGTCGGCCATGTACTAAGAAACATCATGTTAAAATGAAACAAGCATATCCAGACCCAAGGGTAAAGTTCTTACATTAAATATAGTAATACGTACTGGCTTTTATAATAAGATACCTAATTAAATATATAAATCAAAATATATATGTTCATACCATATATTATAAAATCTGCTTGAATTTACGATATACACATATCGCACACCCACAAGAAAAGTGACATAAATCAACAAAAGATAATTTTACAGGAGAGGCAAATGTAAGTTTAATTTTTTGCTTTACATATTAAGTTCACGCCATTATAAAAACGTCAATAAAAACTGACCTGATCCATCAATACTGTCATTTGTTTGTCCAAGACTTAAGCGAAAACGCAAAACTTTAAAAATTCAGCTGTACTACCCCTAAAAAATAACCGCTTTTTGAGTTGAATACTTTTCTTGCATATATTGGCTTTCAGTAATTTAATTTAGTTTGTTTGATCTAACAATAATGGTGGTCAATGAATGACTATTGGGTTATTGAAATATAGTTCCACCCTTCTCTAAAAGAGCTTTAATCTAGACATTTAATCTTTTTGTGATAGTAACTGACAACACACAAACCTAAGAATCGAGCATAAATATCCATGAAGAAAGTTTTATTATTTTTGATTATCTTTAGATATTATTTTTGAGATCATTATTAGATTATTTTCTAGATTCAAATTATTTTTGAGCCAAATGTGCTTTCTTCCTGAAATCAGGCCTAATTAGTTATATAAAATATCAAATTAATTATTGAAATAAAAGTTATATTGATTATTAAAATAATGTAATTAAAACAGAATGTAATAAAAACGGTTGCAACTGTAAAATAATGTAAAAGTTAGAATACGACATTTTTTAAAAATTATGAAAACCAATATTATAATTAAAAATAGTATTAAAATAAAAGCAATGACACTAAACTAATTCGCTAACAGTACTCTAGATCAAGGTTTGATTTTGAAGAAAAATGCAAATTTAGTTGTTTCTACTAAGGCCTTGACCTATTTTAAGGTTATCATCAGGACCTAAACTAATTTCACATTACGAAAAACATATTTGTAGTATTGATTTAACAATTGTTTTTCACATTGTGAAAATGTGGCCCCGGTACAGCAAAAAATCTTTCACTAAACGTGAAAAAAAACCGACGTAACTCGATATGTGCCACTTTTCCTGATAAATACTCGCACTGATGGCTCGACAAAGAACTGAGATATGCCAATTTTCGTGAATGGTGACACTGAGTTCCCGGAAATTCAAAAGTGATACATGCAATTATCCCGGTTAATCCACGATAATCTTTATATATTGATAGGTACATTTGTATTACCTTGTCTTTGTACGGTTGGCCGGGGTTGGCGGCCTTGGGATAAGCCGCACTAGGATTGTAATTCAGGACTGGGCACCCTTGGATCGGCCACTTTATTAAAGAAACAGACAACCCCTTGATGCTTTCACGGGGTAATCCCAACGAGGGCGAACGATGGGGATAAACCCCTGAGTAATTAATGTCTTTCAAATGGATGGGGATGGTCAATCCCTGTTATGAAAACTCACGTTATGACCAAAATAGTGATAAAATACTCAATAACACAAGAAGATATTTTATTTAAATTTAACTTGAGCTAATGGAATAATTAGGTTGCGACGATTGTTTCTTTGTATTGGTGAGTGTGTTAATTTAGTTTGTTTGCTGTAACAATAATGGTGGTCAATGAATGATTATAGGGGTATTAATTTTTTTGTGATAGCAACAGACAACACACAAACCTAGCAAACGAGCGTAAATATGAATCAATGTACTCAATACTTACACCGAGTGACAATACGTTCCCGTCAATTCAAAAGTGACACATAGTGCTGCCTAGCACCTACAGTTATATCATTTTTCCTTTAACATCATGCACCCGAATAATAAAAAAAACTAAATGATTCGGTTTTTATAATTTTTCGTGAATAGTGACAATACGTTCCCGTCAATTCAAAAGTGACACATAGTGCTGCCTAGCACCTACAGTTATATCATTTTTCCTGTAACATCATGCACCCCAATACTCAAAAAAACTAAATGATTCGGTTTTTATAATTTTTCTTGTGCCACTTTTCTTGTAGGTATGCGATGTTATGAGGATGTATCAAAAAGAATAACATTGCTACACGCAACAATTTCTAAATAAAATTTAATTATTTTCTAACTTAAACAGGGATTTGTAGAACCTCATGTAGCATCTGATATGATAAGGTTTCCTGAAAAACACCAAGAATGATTAACTGAACGTCCCGAAATCAGCCTATTTAGAGAAAGACAGATTCACTCCAAAAAATTAAAAAAGCCCTTCAATCAATATCTTTTTTAATTTTATTTTTGTTTTGCTGGTTATACGTTATTATAATCTTTATTTGTGGCTAGGAATTGGATGCTGTGTGGCACTCCTCCATTCGAGGGAGTGGAAGCAGTTCTTGGCGAACTCTGAAAAACCGTTTGATGATGTAGATTAATGGAAGATCACCCACGCTTGTGGCAAGTCAAGAACGGCCCTCAATTTTCGCTCGAGGGATGACAATACTGGCCAAAGACGAAAAGCATAAAATTGGGTAGTGGAGTGTTTACAAAAGAACTTAGCGTTTACTCTCCAATTCCTGAATTGTTCCTGATCTTTTTTTAGTATAAAATGAAAATATAGAATGCCGATGAAAAAATAGACCAAAATGTTCTACTATAACTGATGACGTGCAATACCAATCGATATGAGTAAGGTATCAAGTATTTTCTTTCGATACAGAGTACTTTTAGTATCGAATATTGTCATTCGATACAAGTACTGTATCGAGTACTTTTTGTAGTATCGGAGTATATACTCAAATAGATTTTTCATCGAGTGTTCAAGTTATATTGAATTGTTATTTTCTGTTCGAATCTTGCCTTTCATCATGTTTCATCAAACTGGGAACGCCTACAAGCAGCATGTGTCAACAAAGTTAATCGAAATTTCGAATTGGTGGTTGGTAATTCTGCTTATAATTCTGATAACTCATAGTTTTTTCCCGCGTCGTACCTCCCACTTTTAATTGCAGTAATTTTTTATAAAACGTTTTCAAGTACCTAAAAAGTGTTCGCTTTACTCTCATAGGTAAGTAGTATAAGGGATACCACCTGCACCCCCACCACTTTCCTTCCCGTGGTGTACCATGGTGTTTTTCCGCTCACATTTAAAAACATGGGATCTGATTGGTTATGTTTTACCGCCAGCCTCCCCTCCACGACTTTACTTCTCAAGGTGTCCCACGGTGTTTTTCCGCCCAAATTTAAAAACATGGGATCTGATTGGTTCTGTTTTACCGCCGGCATTTAAATCATCGGGTCTGGTGGTGTCCCCATGGAAGTCCCCCCACGTGTCCCCCGCCATCATCAGCTTGCCGCGATAATTCGAACCGGGTAATCTCAAGGTGTCTCGTACCGCTCGTCTGCTTTTAAAATATTGTGAGGATTAAGTGATTTACGAATATATTATTTATTCAATAGTAGAAAGCAGAAAGGATCACCGTATGAAAGAAGAAAAATTTTCAAGTAAGTAATTAACTATTTTATGCATGTTTATTAATGATAGAAACGGTGAATTATGTACACAAATCCTGAAATTAATAAAATGTATTTGCAATCTAATTTAGACTGGATCTTTCTTCAATTCCCTGCACGTCGACACAAGCATCATTGCTGGAATATCTTCTTTCTAATAACCAAGAAATATTTTAAGAAATGTTTCCAAAAATTACAATAGCTTTGATAGATATATTAATGTTAATATAATTCGAATTTCTGTAGTTAGTCTTTTTTTAAAATCCGACCGATTTGGACAATTTTAACGTTGTTGGACAAATTGTGGAAACCAATATGGATACTGTTGGTCAGCAAATTGAGGAATGTGATGTGAGTACTTTTGATTTAATTAATTATTATAATAGTTTGTATTATTTTTCACAATCTTATATTATTGAGTAAAATGTCGATTCTACAGATTTTAATTTACGTTTAGAAATGTTAATTTATTATTCTGTTTTGTGGGCTGAAGTATATTTTAAAATTATTACTGAAGTTACCATATATTAAAGGTGTATACGTTGGAAAATCCGGTTCAAATTGAAGAGGAAGAAAAATCCATTAGATCGGATGAGAACGAGAAAAAACATCAAAAAAAGAAGTAAAAATATAAAATATTGAAAAATAATTATTTACCTCCTATATAGCATTATAATTATTTCTATTATACGGTGCTATTTTTAGGAAAGCGACGGAAAAAAGGAAATTTGTGCAGCCAATTCGCAGAACTTGTGGGATGATAATGTCAATCTTACAGCAATTTCTTATAGATTACATCAATAATTATGTAATAATTTTAAAATTATTTTAGGATTTCGAAGAAGCAATGCAACATGCGGAAAAAATCAAGAGAAATAAGTGGAAAGAAAAAAGTGATCGAGTCTAAACATAATGAAAAAGGGAAAGGGAAAGGAATTGTTCACATACAGAAGGAAAAAGTAAAATAGACCAAAGGATAAAACGTATCGAAAAAGTATACAATTTTTACGATAATGGAAATAGCAACAGATCTTGTAATTAATTATTTGTAAGAAAATTTAAAAAAACAAGGCAGAAGCTATTAACAGGCTTATCAAGGCACGGCTAACAAAGATGATTTGGAAAGAATTTAGCCTCCGCGGGTCTTACAAATGGTTATCACTGTTGCAATCTATACTCAATGAATACAACCATAAAAAACACCGCACTATTGGTATGGCACCTGTGGAAGTGAAAGCCGGAAAAGTTGAAAAACATTTATTAGAAAATATTTTTGGTTCAAAAAATAACAAAATTACCGAAATTCACAATTGGTGATTACGTGAGAATATCTAAATACAAGGCACAATTTACTAAAGGTTACACTCCATCGTGTTCTACTGAAATCTTCAAAGTATGTAAAGTTCAAAAAACAAATCCTGTAACGTATACTTTGATGGATTTAATGGATAAAGAAATAGCTGGAGGGTTTTATCAAGAAGAACTGCAGCTAGTTAAATATCCTGACGTTTACTTGGTAGAAAAAATTATTAGAAAAAATAAGAAGAACGGGAAAGCCCTCGTAAAATGGCTCGGATTTGATTCAAAACATAATAGCTGGGTTGATACCAAGAATTTATATTTATAAAGCAATCATTTTTTAAAATTACAATCGGTTTGAACGGAAGCTCGTAAGAGTGAACATGGTCCTAAAACGAACGTCTCAACGAATTATTCGCCCCCCCCACAAGACATCGGCGGGGGTTGTAAGTTATTTTCTTTGTCAAAGAAAGCAAAAGAATTGATGGGTACTTTTCCTAAACGGAGCCTAACAAATTTTGATATTTCTCGATTGGCTCGTTCGGAAAAAATTCCAGGCTTCAGGGGTGTTTTTATGAGTGATACACTACCTAGCAAACCACGTACAAGTGAATGTGGAATATTGAATTTGGATAAAAGTTCTGGTCGTGGAACTCATTGGGTCTGCTATAGAAAAAAAGGGAAAATAGAGAGATATTTTGATAGCACAGGAAATGGTAAACCTCCTTCCCTCAGACGGTTTTAAACCATGAGGAACGTCTTTCTTGCTGTAATATATACTGCCGATCTGTAAACTTTGTATATACAGGGTGAATTGCTACTCGTGCTACAAACTTCTCCAGTAGATTCTTCACCCTAAAATGAACAAAAAAGTTCATATTGTCCATGGTCCGATTCTNTGGGGGTCTAGGAACTGCATGCGTTGGGGCTGAAATGACCTAGCAATTAATAGCTCCTGGAGCCAACATCGGTGGCTTTACGGATAAGGTCGAAGTCTTTCCGGGCCAACACCCGAGCTGATTGAACCTTAACGCTTACCGGTAAACTTGTGAGAAACGACTAATGCTCGAATCGCCTATGAAAAATGGCCAAACGATTGAAAAGTATTTTCCCCAATAATTCTCAAATAACAGTCTTACGGCTACGGGATTTGAAGCCAGAACTGCTAGTGTGGCATTCATAAGTTGAATGCTCTAACCAGTCTGCGACCGCGGACCCCGTTTAACCTTAGAGATAAAGCCAAAAATATTCAAAAATCAAGCAGGGGTTTGAAATAGAGTTATTTCCATAATAATTTGTGCAGTCAAAATATCTACTCACATGTAAAAACCGCGTTTTGTAATTTTAGCATTTCAGTCAGCTAAAAAAAATAATCCGTTGGTAGATTCAACTGAAATTGATCACTGCTACTTGACAAACGTAAAACTTTTCTTAAATTCTAAATCTTACCCGTACGATGATTTAAACGTGAATTTTTCCAATAACCGATATGGAATGTTATATTACATGTATACGAACATACAGAAGAATTTTTACTCTGATTCTAGACCGTTCCCCTTACTTTCATTATCTCAGTTTAGAGGTATAGCACCTATTATTGTAATAGATTGTGCCAAACAGTCTGAATTTATTAAATCAGGCTCAGTAGATGTCAGATTAGAATTCGAGGCAAGTACGGCTTTTCCAGAAATTACAACAGCATATTGCTTGGTCTTCATGATAGGGTTATTGAGTACAACCCTTTCACTAATATAGTCAGAAAAATGTTATAAAAGCTCACCGAACTGGATGTTATCTCTCAGTAATGTCTATTCTATTCAAGAAGGATTACTACTTGACTAATTACAACATCGACAAAATGAAGCTAGCTTGATTGATTTTCAAGGGTTCTTTGGAAAAGATGACAGTTTTATTAGTAAAGAACTAGCAATTATTGAAATCAACAGTAAAGCTAGTTAAAATTGGATTTTTCAACCGCCTAAATTCCACGCAGAAAACAATATAGTAAGAAAAACTAAAACTGGTTAACGAAATATTTCCACGGCATCAACTGGGAAGACGGCGAAGTACCTTACCAAAACGCAAACGGGCTCATTTCATCTATTCTCAACGAGTTCAACCTTGCCTTTGTTAAAGGAAAAATGAAGAAAGACTTTTTGAGAATATTCGAAACTTCATGAAACATCATCGATCTCTCTAACTACGGCTGCCCAAGGATAAGAAGTCTATCTTCAAAGGAGGGTGTTCAATGTTTCTACCACAAAAGAAAACCAGTACAGTGCGCACGGTATAAAGTTTTCGGACTAATCAATTGGTTATCCAAAAATATTAACATTGTAGATTACAAAGCGTATATCTGAATATTTTTTTGTTAATGGCCCTACAATTACAGAAGAGTGAATTTTTTTAAAATACTTTTTGTTCATTAATGTGGCCTTCTTGATTATTATGTATATTTTTATTAATAAATTTTGTTTAATTTCATTTATTAATACATAGGCCTTTTTATTTCTCACACCCATGCTTACAGTATCATACTAGATACTCCCCCTCCTTGTTTTATTCAACTACGGTCCTCTTCGTCATTGCGCACTATCAGTCAACAGCCATCCGTTGAAAAGAAAGGAAGGA